TTGCCGTGGCAGAGCGGCTAGACGCACGCCGCGGATCGGAAGGTCGTGGGTTCGCTCCTTGGCGGAGCTGGACTTTTCTTCACAAAAATGACCTTGGCTCCGAGGTCGACCCAGCCTTGAGTGGGTACCGGGTGCAGTCCCGGGAAGTAGAGGCGGCCGGCGTGATGCTGACCACATCACCAAACTTGTGTCGTTGGTCTATAAAAATATAGGTCTAGCCCTATATGCCTAAAGGCGTGGAAAGGGTCCTTTACTTACTTACTTACTTACTTTATACTAGTCACATTGTCTCTAGATACACTGTGTATCTCACCAAGATTATCATGTGATCACCGATCGATTACTGATTTCAGAATTGACATAATAGCACACCGGGCATACTACAGCAAATGTATACCACAGCAAATGTATACCACAGCAAATGTCGTTAGGTGTAGATGCTAACTGTTTCCGTAGCAAATTGATTATACAGACATCATTCTCTTCCTCACATACGTCCCTCCTTGCCTGATCCACAGCTAATTCCTCATTCACACGTTCTCACATATGTTATTTCATCTAACCTCGTGTCTTCTGTCAACATTCGCTCATATATGGTCTTTAGAATATCTCTTTTGTCCAGTACGAGCGTTCCCGTCGTTTTCGCGTTTGTAGTCAGAATATCCGCTCTTTCATTCCCTCGCACTCCTTCACATCCCAGACAGTATATCCACATGATTCCCAGCAATATTGTCATACTGTTGCTTGGTATCCACTCATGCCACAATAGTTCATTCTGAACTTTCCGCAGTACCGACTGAGAATCAGACACTATAATTCCTCTGCTCACTTTGTTTTCTGCTATCCAAATCAGAGCTACAGTGACTGCCTCCATCTCTATCATTATGCTTGAAGCTGTAGATAAAATAAAAAGTTCCAATTTGTTCTGCCACAATCTTCCCTTTATTCTAGTTAAAAATACCCAGCCAGATCCTTTACCACGATAAACCTACGGTGTATACTACTGCATTATCTAGTCATAGAAGCTTAAGATTAAAGAGCAAAATATGCCAGCCAATAAACTGGGCAGCATATTGTTTGTGTCCTTTTTATTTCAAAAAAAAATTAATGTAAATTAACATCTAAATTATAAATAATTGAAACGTGAAATGTAACTAGAGGAAAATGGTGTAAAGGCATGCTGAACGGAAAAGCAAAACACGTTAATGTATATATAAAATACTTTGGGGGAAAACACAACAGTATCAAGGAATGTGTTAGTTGAAATAACTGAATAACGGTTTAAATCAGACAAAGGAATGGGCCTTATTGGAAAAGTATATAAGTTGTTTCACAGTCATTTTGACAAAAGGCGGCTGGCACACTGTATTATGGTTCACAGCTAGGCTGTGAATGATATCTGCCCCTTTTCCCATAAATAAAACTACAAAACCAGCTCAAGTAATCAAAATATGTTTCTGCATTTAAAATATTCATTGTTGACCCAATAAACACAACACAATGAGCAGGCCTTAAGTGACATTGTAGGAATGGACACAAGTATCAATGACCAGTACATAGATATATTCTGAATTTAAAAAATAACTGTGGATATGAAGGTAAATATGGCTACAAAGATAAATATGAGCAGCAATGAAGATCGACAAACGGGGTCACCTGAGATGATAATGTCAATAGAATTGTCATTTAAAAATTTTTTTTAAGAAAAAAAAAATAAAAGTGAACAGTTCTAAAACATTTGTTTGCATGTTTGAGACTAGTGACGAGATTTGATCAAAAGAATCATTTATTTTACATATTGTGAGTACAAATAATTATTTATGTTTTTCACATTACCAAATATACATCAATTAGGAATTCTTCTGTAATTTGATCTTCATATATATCTATCAACATAAAATTATACTTTAAAAGCGGTTATAAATAGCCCCCAAAGAAAACTATCGTGCAGGCTGTTTATAAATATTACCTAAACAAAATTATCCTTTAATAACTTGACAATCTTTCCTTAAGAAAACTATACTAAACAAAATATATACAAAATTCTCCCAGTGAGAAGTATACCATGCAGACTTTATCAATATTACTACAGAAAACTATACTACAAATATTGTACAAATAATATTGTACATAACAAATAAATAAATACATATTTTGATGCTTATTCTGTTTAGGCTTGTTTTGAGTACAGAATAATCCCACGGCACCTGTCTCCACATTATCTTGGAAAAATAGAAATAGATGTCCTTCATATAAAGTGGCTTGCATTGCTCTATGAGACTCAGATCAAAAACATAAGATGGACTTTCTGCCCAGGGTATTTTAGGGTGTCGCGTATTGAGTCTGCTGACAGAATAACCCCTGCTGCTCCTCTTGGTAGTAAGCTACTTTATGATAAGTGGATGTTGCAAAGGCTCTTCTAGAATCAAGTTAACAGTGCAACAGAACTGACATCCACACTGATTCAGCAGGGGAGTGAGCTGAGGATCTTGACAGTTTTCAACAAACAGGGGAAAAGTCAGGTGGATTTTCAATCAAACAGGATGCAACTTGCACAATCAGTATAGGAACTCTTCATCTGAGGAAGAGAACAGAGCACAACTGGGAATGCCTAAGGAAATGACCTCAATTCTGGCTTACTTGAATGCAGAGTTCTAGTTCCTCATCACTCAGGTAGACATCTCACTTCAGAGGAAAAATAACTTATTAGTCACCTTTTACGGCATGCCTGTTAGGAAGGCAATTCCACGGGAAAACTCTTGACTTCTTCCACCTTGATAGTGTAGTGTATAGTTCGAGCAACCCAATAACTATGTCAGTGGTACTGTAATCTACAGGTAGGATTACCCATGCTGGACAACTAAAAAAGATAGCAGCCAGAGACAGCAAAGAAAACAAATTTGTTGCAGGTAGACTGGGGCAGAGCTTTCCAAACTGCTCATGTTGGTAAAACACTGTTCAGACAAACATAATGCTACGACGGGGAAAATAGGCCTTTTAGAAAAACCAGAATTTAATCTTGCTCCTTATAAGAGATACAGAGTCATATTGCTGCGACATTGCTGCAGACACACACTGATGTGTCGGGACACACAGTTTGAAAAGCTCTGTGCTAGGGCAAGTGAACAGAAACATTGTTTTGAAATCAGACGTAATGATCCATTGGCTTGACAAACCAATACAATGTACATCATTCATGATGAAATACATCAAAAATTGAATACTGATGTAACAAACAGACCCAAAACTGTTTCATCTTCAAATACCAAACACAAAACACTCATAAAGTTCAAAGTCATGTGGATGTGAACAGAAAGGGGAAAAAACAACTATATTTATTCCAAGACTCTTATCATAACAGCCACTGACAACAACAACAAAATTATTGTATTGTATGAGTGGCAGGGAAACTTGTAAACAAGGGTGATATTATAAATATACATATACATAAATATTTATTTATGGCAATTATATGTTATGCAATAATGAAATATAGAAATTTTTTTTTACTTTTGTGAAATGTGAAAATATATGTTTATATAATATATTATATATATATTTATTTATTTATTTATTGCTAGTATTGCTACATATTTTTTAAGTTGGCTAATTTAATTTTTTCATTTCTTAAATGTGAAAACAGAATTTATTAAAAATAAACAAATAATTATAATAATTACTTACAAATCTTGAACAACACAACAAAAATAAAAAATACAAATTTAAATAAGTACCATATTTGTCTTTATATCAGAAGCCCCTATGTATAAGACAACGCCCTATTTTCTGAATCCAAAATTAATTTCCATGTATAAGATTACTCCCTATTTCAAACTTAACAAATTCAGAAAAAAATATAGTCTTATACTCAAAGCAATGTTTCCCCGATGTGAATTTGAACAAAGAAGACACAAACAATAGACTGCACAATTTATTGCCTGGCATATTTCGCTGTATCTCGTCAGGTGCATACTACAGTAACAAGTGAATAAATTAAGCAAATAGCTGAATCCTAGAAACTGAAACACAAATTCGAGTACATTCTAGACTGTCTGTTTCACCAAGGTAACCTTAAGGAAACTACCATTTCTTTCTGCCTACAGAGATCCGATTTTAACCGGTTGAATGCGGAAGCTTCACTTGTTACTGTAGTATGCACCTGACGAGATACAGCGAAATATGCCAGGCAATAAATTGTGCAGTCTATTGTTTGTGTCTTCTTTGTTCATAATCTTATGCACTGAAAAATAGGTTAAATAAACATTCAATTAAGTAAATTTGTAAACATATGAAGGGAATCTCTATGGCAAAGCAGTCAACACATTTCCTTATACCCTCAAAGTCCTTAGTTTATTTTCAGACTGTTGTTAGATTCACAAACAAAATTTTCTGCCCCAAATCCCTGGGGTTATCGCTGGAGTTATGGAGATTGTGGTCTGTGCATCACTCTTGGCAGGCGGCCAGCTGCTATGCAAAGAGAGACACAACTAGATGGGATCAAACCTGGTGCAAGGAAGTGACCCTTGCAACATTTCTTTGCCTTTTAATAGAAACTTGAGGAATCGCTGGTCGAGTGATTAGATGCTGGGCTTTCTTTGGAAGGTGGTATTCAAAACCTTGGTAAGAATATGCAATTTTTTTTCTGTCGGGGGCAAACACAAATTCTAACCTGCATAGTTCATGGGACTCACTAATCATACAACACCTCAGACTCAAGAATCCCCAGTCCTGCATCACAAGAAAAATGGTACATAAGGCTATTAACAGTTTTTAAAAAAATGAAACTACATTTACAAAATGGTCACCCCAAGTATGAATATAAAAAATGTAACAGAACAATAGGTCACAAGAAATTGTTACATAAATATAACTTAACATAACCCATTCAATGTTCTTGAAGGCAAATAACCAAAAGTAGTAAATAAAAACAAGAATTATAAAAAAAAAAAAAAAGGAATAAAGAAAAACCGCTGAACAATTAAAAGGGACTCTATTTAAACTTTTCCTTTCTTCTTCAACACGTTTCTGAAATCCAGCTGTGGTGTGGCCTCAGTTATTTTTTGCCTGGTGTCAGAGGAGTAGTCAAACTTGGTTTTCCTCAGTCGGGCTCGGATCTCTTCCAAGGCTGCATTTGAATTGGTGTCATTCGACAGGGCAATGGGTAGTCTTACAGGCGTGAGATTTGAAGACCTAGGGATGGACAATATCTGCTTATGAATCTGGAAAAGTAATTGATAAATCTATCAACTGTAAGCCCCAGGTTTGGATTTGCAGATCCAAGGATTGACAACAATGTCCACTTAATAATCTGGAAAGGTATTTTTGTGTTGGGTAAATCTATCAATTGTAGAGTAGCTGAGGTAGCATAGTGGCTGACCTGAAGGTCTTGATGACTTCTTCTTCTTCTTAGCTTCTTTCTAGCGTTCACTAGCTGTTAACTCTGTTGAAAAGTTCTGGTTGTTTGTTAATTTTGGACTCTGGTTTTGTTCCAGAACTTGAAATTTGCGTGCAGATCTGTTTTACAGATCTAGCTTAATTTTATGTAGACTGTTGATTCCTTGCCTCTTAGGAAGATGCATTGCAACTTTGAAGGAAACAACCATGATTAGTCACCTCCTATGACATGCTTGTTGGGGGCAGTGAGTTTATTCTTTGTTACGTAAAATGCAGCACCAGAATCCACACTGGGTGTGAAGCCACATCCAGTCTGATTTTGTTTCAAGACTGACCACGTCGACCCAACCTTAAATGGGTATAAGGTAATTTTCTGGGACGTACACGTGGCTGGCGTGTTGTTGGCCCATCATGCATCTGGTTGGTCTATGAAAAAAAAATAAGTTAAGCATTATATGTCAAATGCACCACTGACATCTTTGTAGTTCAGTAGGCAAGCTGTGTTGTGGTTTACAGCTAAGATGTGATATCTCCACCATTCAGCCCAAAACATCTGATGTCAACAAATCCCTAGCTTTTACATGTTTGTTAAGAAGCAGCTAGTTTGTTATTCTCTCTATTATTTATATACTGAATGCTGACTGGTCTAGGACAATAATGAGTCTAGCGGCACATGCCCGAAGCCCCACTAACTTTAACTTGTTTAGTCCCATGAGGTTCACACAAGATATCAAAAAGAAACAATAGCCCTCTCCCCCCTCCCCCACCCCCCAATCAACAGACACATAAGTGCATAACCTTAACAGAGGCAGCACTCACACAGTTTGCATGAAATACAGATGTGCTGCATTTTGAAATAACTGACTAGATGTGAATAGTATTCATCATATCAGATCATGTGTTGCATGGGTCATTTGGACAATAGCACATCACGCACTTTTCACAAATCACCTTGGCTTCCAGGTCAACCCAGCCTTAACTCTCTGAGTCCCAAGGAACGCATCATACATTCATAGGTTCCTACCTAGAAGCCCAATGAACGCATGATGCGCCAATTTTATGACTCTCTTTACTATTCCCTGGGCCTGTGATGCTAAACCCCCTGGGACTCAAAGAGTTAAATTGGTACCAAATAAGTAAAGGTGGCCGGCGTGATGTCGACCATATCACTCACAGAGTGCCGATTGGTCTATAAAATAAAGGTCTAGCCCTATATGCCCAATATGCATGAGGAAGTAGAACCATGTCCTTTACTACTACACTTTTACTTATATCATGTACAGTGTGTTGTAAGAGACTAAAGAAGTTAAAAGGTCTTTTATTCACTATACTTTTACTTTACTATCAATTACTTTTAAACAGTTGAAGCTATATAAATGTAAGCTTCCATGTCAGTGTTATAATTAGGGTGACCATATCGCTGGGACAGTATCACTATTTTAGTTAGGCCTAGGCCGTCCTGTCGATACCCAATGAGAAAAAACATCCACTGTCTAAACTGACTTTTTTTTTTTTAAATCTGAGTATCGATGGTCTGGACCTACCTAAAAACAAATTGTCCTGGTGAAAACATCACCATAATTATAATATATGAAAGCTTAAGACTTCACACCTAAACGGACACATTGACTATGGGGATATCTTTATTTTTTATAGAATCTGTACAATTGCACAGGTGAGAAGCAGGGAAAGTTAGCTCACAAGGTGTGAAACATTTAATAGCAGCAGAAATGTGGATTCATGCAGCTGACATTATACATTTAACAATATGGAAAGGAATTGTGTACACAATTCAGGAGACTATATAGTTTACGAATATTGACATTTTAATCTAACAACGGCATCAAAATATCCCAGGTACCCCGATCAACTTCCTAAGAGGTTATAATTAGGGCACCTGAGGTTCCTTGCTGTTCTGGGTGAATGAGAACAATTATGTGTCAACAAACCTTGTGACATCAACCTGAGATGACAACTTAAAGATAAGATGCCTGAATCTCTTCTTCTTAGCATTCACCAACTGTAAAGACTGGAAGAAAGTCTTGGTTGTTTATTGTCTTCAGGAATGTGGTCTTGTTCCAAAACTTGTGTTTTGCATTCAGATCTTTTTGACAGATCTGGCTTATTTGTATGCAGACCATTGGTTCCTTCCCTCTCAGATGCAGATGTATTCCAACTTTGAAGGAAAGGAAACACCCATAATTAGCCACCTCTCATGACATGCTAAGGGTGCAGGGGGTCTGTCCCCCCCTCCCCCCCACACCACCCAAGGTAGAAAAGATCCAATGCCTGCTAACAAGCATGTCCTAAAAGGCCACTTATTAGGGATTTGCTGAAATGAGATGTCTTGAGCTCAGAGCTGGAAATATCACGGCCTAGCTATAAAGCAAAACACAGCGTGACAACCGCCTTGTTAAGGGTGAGGGTAGAAGAATGTGAACTGCTGTTATGTATGTGAAGCATTGGCAGTAAGCAGACAAGCTGACATACATCTGTGGCTGAAGTGCTGACTAGTGAAATGTGCTTAAAGTAAAATAAAAGTAAAGATCCCCTTTTCACACCTTTAGCGCATCTGGCACTGGAAAGAGCACCCATATTTTTACAGACCAATCGGCACTAGGTGGGTAATGTGGTGAGCATACGCCGGCCGTCTTTACTTCCCCAGAACATCCATCCTGCTACCCATTTTAGGCTGGGTCGACCTGCGACGCTCCATACCATGATAAAAATCCACGCAGAAATGTGGTTTGCCAGGGAAATAAAAATAAAATGATGGAAGCCTTATGATTGTTTTTACATAGGACAGTGAGTGAGCTAAAGTTCAGAAGAATATCTCGTTAAGGCTCGCTCCTAGGTGGACCCAGGCTCCAATGGATACCAGTTAATGTACTGGGGTGTACGGCAGCTGGCCTGATGTTGACCACATCACCCACAGAGTGCTGATTGGTGTATTCAAATACGAGTCCAGCACCATATGTCAGATTCACCAGTGTCATCCTTCTAGCTCAACTGGCAAGTTGTATTGTGGTTTACAGCTAGGCTGTGATATCTGTGCCTTTTAGCCCAAAACATCAAATTTCAACAAATCCCTAATCAGCAGCTTCTGACAACATGCTTGTTAAAGAGCAGGTCTGTTATTTGTCCCTACCAAAAATGTGGCCCTGGAACCTTCAAAGGGGAACTATTAGCATAAAAAGTGAGCATGACTTACTTTCCTTTTACTATATTTCATGAAACAAAAAACAAATTGAAAAGGCTGCTGAATCGTAATTCCATTTTTATATGTTTACATTTTAATTAAAAAGTGATGTTGAAAATACCAGTGACTGATATCAAGAAGTAAATTTACACAACATAAACTATGACTAAGAAACTAAACAAAGGAAAAATGAACAGATGTGCACAAATACAACTAAAAGTTTCGATGAAAGTCTTTACCAACATCTGTTGTTAAATTTGTTTAGTATGTGCCAGTTCTAATGTGAGAAAGTACCTCAGGGACAATCAGCCAATTGGTGGCTTATTATGTGGAAGCTGCAGAGTTGTGGTTTTTATGCATGAATGATGAGAATAACACAGACAGATGAAAACGCATAATGAAGATGTCTTGAAAGAAATCAACTCATGAAACAAAAGCATTTACATTCTTTGATCACGTTGTAAGAAGGAGAAAACTATGGTATGCTGTGACAAATGTAAAGCTGACAGGGAGAAAAAGAAGAGGAAGACTAAAGAGAGAAGATTCTGGACAGTCAGGCATCATGGCATGGAGGAACATCTGCATCAGAAATGACTGAAAGTACAAGAGACAGAAGGTTGTACAAACATGATAATATCCCATCTATACAGTCAACTCCTAGGTTACTTTGTAACCATAGGGATGCCCTCCCTAATACAACTGTTATACAGATGAACTGGGATTTGCTTCTATTTGATTCTCATCCTTGGGGTGTCAATCCTACGGACAGCAATCCTGGAGGAGAGCAATGATCTAGCATGACTGCCTACTCCACATGGCATGGACTAAGAGAAGAAAAATGTACATCTCTGGCTACTCTCCAATTTGTGTCTATGATGCTGTCTATATAGAAAATACAGAACAACACATTAAAAACACTTTATGCCTTCATGGCATGACAATAGCCAGTGCCAGACAGCGCGCACTGGATCCCAAATTATTCCCCCCATTGTTGCTTAAGGGTAGAAGTGGTATATGATAAGTATGATGATGTTAAGAGTTGTATAGCTGCATCTCTAGAAGTGACTTTTCACAGACGGAGTTAAGATTATTTTTTACAAGAATAATATGGGGAAGGGGCATTGAGCATTACAATATCAAGCACAACAGTGAACAACTCAGTAAGTGCATGCAGTTCACCTGTTGCCATTCAGGTCCACCTGAGACATAGAGTTATCTGCAAACTGGACAGGTGGGGCAACAACGACAGATGGATCATCCCCAATAGGGGATGGAGGTCCAGTGCTATTCATTTCAGACTCTGAAGCATATATTATGTCAATATCCCCTTCCTCATAGGTGGTCTGATTCAAGCGCTGCTGCCATAAACCCAGGATACTGCCTGTAAGTTCGGATTCTAGCCGCTTGGCTAGTTCTGTGGCATCATCCTCTTCTGAAAAGGTTTCAAATAAGATGAACAATAATCTCAGCGAGAATTATTATCATCATCAAAGCAGAGTTACACAGAAACAATGGCTCTGTCTCCATCACTGTGAACTGTTAAAACTGTCTCCATCTCTATGAACTACTAAAATGTTTTAACAAATGAATATTAGTAAAAGTATGTATGTGTGTTTATGTGCCTGACTAACCATCCTTCCATTCACTCTATCCACCACCTTTCTGTGTCTACCTGCTAATCTTTTTATCTGTCTATTCATATATCTGCCTGTCTATATGCCTATCTATTTATCTGTCTGTCTATTGAAATATCAACCTGTCCATTTGTCTGTCTATTGACATACTGTCTAGTGATATAGCTGCCTGTCTATTGATGTAGCAGCATGTCTATTTATTTATCTGTCAATCTACTGATATATCTGCCCATTTATCTATTTATCTGCCTGTTTGTCTACTGATAAATCTGCCTGTCTATTGATGTCTGTCTATTGATATATCTGCTTGTCTACTGACACATCCACCTATCTATTTATTTGTAAGTCGACTGATATATCTGCCCGTCTATCTATTTATCTCACCGTCTACTGATATAAATGCTTATTCATCTGTTTATCTGATTATTTATTTATATATGTGCCGGTCTATTTATGTCTGACTACTTATATATTTATTTATGTCTACTGATTATCTGCCCATCCATATATCCACCCATCTAACCATACTTTTGCCCTTCGCCCACCCACATATCCATCTGTCTATCTACCAATGCACTAATACCATTCTTTAAAAACAAAATAAAGGACGAACAAACGAACAAGGACAATATAACCAGCCTTCCAAGGGGACAGTCAATAGATGTATCTTGGGATGGCTGCTGCAACAGAGGACTAAGCAGGCATTTGAATGTGCATTGATGTCAACGGTGATAATATAACAACTACCTACCTAACTAACTGTCTATATACCTATCTAACACCCAAACTGTAAGCATGCCAGTTTAACCATTCCTACCTAACTGTCTATATACCTATCTAACACTCAAACTGTTAGCATGCCAGTTTATCCATTCCATCCTCAATCCTACACTTCTACATCTACTCACCCACTGTTCCATCCATCCATCCACTCATCCATCCATCCATCCACTCATCAATCCATCTACCCTCCAGTCCACCCACCCATCGATCTGTCTGTCTGTCTGTCTGTCTGTATGTATGTATGTCTGTATGTCTGTCTGTCTGTCCATCCATCTCCCCACCAGTCCACCCACCCATCGATCTGTCTGTCTGTCTGTCTGTCCATCCATCTCCCCACCAGTCCACCCACCCATCGATCTGCCTGTCTGTCCATCCATCTCCCCACCAGTCCACCCACCCATACATCTATCTAAACATCCATCCATCCATCCATGCATATCCATCCCAACAGACACTGTTTTTATGAACATACCCACAGATTACCAGCAGCAATCGCATACAATGAATATAACCAAACAAAATGACGGCACATATAAACACAACTGCTGTTTGCAACGGGGAGGATGTTACTGATGACCTATAACAACCACTTAATATAGGCAGACAATGGTCACTTCTTAGATTCCCTTTGGAGTTGTTAGACCACTTGGTTCTCTGTGAGAAACTCAGGTCAGATCTTTGGAAAGGGGTGGAGATTTGTTTTTTCTGTCAACAACAAAAATATAAATCCTAATATGCACAGTTCGTGGCAACTGCACTAGTCACGTGGCCTTTTTTTCTCAGGCTCATGACCCCTCACCCCCTCAAATCTACACAACATGAAAAGTGGCAAATAGAGGCAGTAAAGACAGTTGTATTTTTTTTCTACAATGCGGCTATTAGGGCTTTTTCTTTTTAAATCCATATTTAAATATTATTTGTCTTGGAGATAACTGCTGAGTTTTTTTTTTTCATAGTGATGATTTTTGTTTTTATTGTAATTAAAAGATCCCTGAATCAGTCAATATTTTTTGTACAACTTGAAGAAATTGGTAACTACTTTTGCTTTTTATTAACTGACAAACAGATGCTAACAACTGACACACAGACACCACTATTTGATCAACATGCACCTGTAACTGACATGCACCAACTGACAGGCTCTAAAAACTGACCCACATACCTCAACAACTGACAAGCATCAACAACTGACAGAGACACAAACAACTGATAAGCATCAACAACTGACAGAGACACAAACAACTGATAAGCAGCAACAACTGACAGAGACACAAACAACTGATAAGCAGCAACAACTGACAAAGACACAAACAACTGATAAGCTGCAACAACTGACAGAGACACAAACAACTGACAAGCATCAACAACTGACCCACAGACCCCAACAACTGACAAGCATGAACAACTGACAGAGACACAAACAACTGACAAGCATCAACAACTGACAGAGACACAAACAACTGATAAGCAGCACGAGCTGACCCACAGACCCCAACAACTGACAAGCATCAATAACTGACAGAGACACAAACAACTGATAAGCATCAACAACTGACAGAATCACAGACAACTGATAAGCATCAACAACTGACAGAGACACAAACAACTGACAAGCAGCAACAACTGAAAGACACACAAACAACTGATAAGCAGCAACAACTGACCCACAGACCCCAACAACTGACAGGCACAAACAATTTATAGAGACACAACTGACTAACAATTGATAAAGACATAAACAACTGACAGGCATTAACCTTCAGACATCACCACTATCAAACACCAACAACTGACAGGTACTAACTTACAGACATCACCACTATCAAACACCAATAACTGACAGGTACCAACAACTGATAGAGACACAAACAATTGACAGACACCAACAATTGATAGAGACACAAACAAGTGACAGACACTAACCTACAGATATCACCACAACAATTGACAGGTACCAACCTACAGACATCCCCACTATCAAACACCAACAACTGACAGGTACCAACAACTCACCAAGCAGATTGTCCCTCTCTGTCTGCAAGTCTGCCTCTATACTATATTCACTATGGCGGCTGATCCGTCCACTGACATTTTCGCTGAAACCATACAGAACCACGTATGAAACGATTACTGCCAGTACATACTTGGTCACATGACAGAAATGGGAATAGAACACAAACATCTGGTGTAAGAAGGGGAAGTAAGGCTGCCCAAAGTTATTGGTATGTCACAAAATGATGACAAATTAATAATAGAATTTGTTACTGCTACTTGTCATGATTGTAGTAGGGGTGCAGACTGGGTGAATGAGGGACTGTCAGCAAAGAACTAAACATGTGATTGTCATGCATGACAAAGCAGATGTGGTCAGAGCCCTTTGGGAACAAGTAACAAAGTCAGAAGAGAAAATAGATTATTATAGGCTGGAGAGAATGATGCACCTGGGTGTGACCAGAGTGTTTGGCCGGCACACTACGCTCAGAGGAAAGGCAAGACGGACATACAACCAGACTATGACTGGCACCATTAGTATTGGAACTCTGCACTGGCTGCTGAGGATAGGGATTGAGCGCAGATGGGAATGCCCTGAGTGTTGTAATGTCAATTCTCAACTCAGCTCAACTCAACTCTGTCATGTTGTGCATAGAAGCCAAGTAAATTACCTGAAGTAAGAGGAAGCGAGCTCTGGTTGCGAACCGGCTGAGAACAGTGGTTGGCCTGACTTCCTAATGGACGGTCTGGACAACTGCAGCATGGTCATACCACATGGGTTTACAGCAGTGGTGGCAGTTATAGTGACAGTTTGGTAGTAGCAGTCAGGACATTTGTGTCAGTGCATTAACTGTGATAATGATAACTGAACTAGACAATGTTGAAAGAACTATGTCACTGTTTGTTATTCTTGACAACTTTAAAGTGTCCTGAGATAGCCATTGGAGTCTGAGATCAAGAGAGTCTGAGATCAAGAGAGTCTGAGATCAAGAGAGTCTGAGATCAAGAGAGTCTGAGATCAAGAGAGTCTGAGATCAAGAGAGTCTGAGATCAAGAGAGTCTGAGAAGTCACAGCTTAATTTTATAGCTCTGCCCGGTTTAGTAGTGCAGAACATCACACCATAAAATCATAATAAGAGGCGAAGGACAGATCAGGGATTGAGCCAGATTACACATGTGCTCTGACCTTGCCACCCACCTCTAAATTCCTGACACTACTACTGTGTTTTCCCCAAAATAAGGCCTACCCCAAAACTAAGCTCTAGCATGATTTTTTAGGACTCTTTTAATACAATCCCCATCACAAAAATAATTAAGATTGTCAGCTAGACTGAGGGCTAATGGTTCTGCAGGAAATAATCGCAAGAAGTTCAGGCTGGAATTTGTGATCTGGAGAGTTATGACAATTTTCTAACAAAAAAACAAAAACAAAACATGACATGACTGTATGCGAATAAGTGTACAATTCTATACAAGACATTGCCCTAGGTTTTTTTAAAGCAAAAATTAATATAAGACCCAGTTTTATTTTTTGGGAAAGACAGTATTAAAATTTTGCTGTCGTAGTGCAGTGGCTTGCATGCAAATGGGCACAAAAGGTCCAAAGATGAACAGTGATTAGCCAGCTTGAATGCAGTGAAGATAAAAGACAGGGTGTAAAGCCTCATCACAGCTGACCTTCACCGTGAAGATGGCACTTGATGCCGATGAACCTTAAAAATAAGCAGACATTTCAAAATGGGGGGGGGGGGGGGGGAACCCAAGAATGTTAGAATGTGAGGTGAACGGAAAACATACACATTAACAAAGAAACGAAAGAAACCTATATCATTAATCAGGACGTCGCTTTTAATATAGCATGCCTGAAAGTCTCTCTACCCCATTCCCCAGCGGTGTGTGCTTTGACAGCCAGTGCATCTTCAATGTACCCGCATCTGCTACATTTTCCAGATACAGATAACAACTTGTATAAAATCATTTGTATAATATGATAAACTGACAGAGAAGCCTACAACAGTACTGATTCTTGCTGGGTGTAGACAACCTATTAATATGATTACATTATCCAACAGCTCTTGATCACATACTTTTCTGCTAGATTTTTCAAATATCACGATAATTTTACAAATATTATTTCACATTTATGCTGTCCTAGGCAATGCTTGCCAGCTGGCCCAAAGGTTTGAGATTCAAATCTATATCAAGATGGAATTTCTCAAAACAGGTTTGACTTCCAGGTGGACCTTGACTTAATAAATGGGTACCAAGGAATGACCTGGTCACTAAAGGTGGCCCGCATGATGTTGACAACATCATCTGTTATGTGCAGACTGGTTTATAAAGATATAGGTCTACCATTATATGCCCATGTGATCTGGAAGATCACGGGTAGTGAGCATACTTTGGATCTTTTCTCCTGGTCATGCCGGCGTGGTGGGTAATGAACAGGCAGAAATATTGGCTGGATCTGCACCACTGGGTGGTGAACTGGTGCATGACAGGGCAAATGTTGTCAAGGCCCTTTGAGAACAAGTAACGGAATCAGTAGAGAAACAAGATTATTATGGCCTGGAGAGAATGAGGCACCTGTGTGTAACCAGAGGGTTTGGCCGACTCACTACACTCAGAGGAAAGGCGAGACGGACCTATAACCAGAATGTGACCGGTACCATCAGTATTGGAACTCTGTACTGGTGATGAGGATGGAGCACACATGGGAATGCTCTGAGTGCTGTGATGTCAATTCTTGACTTAACATCACTAATTAACTATATGCCCAATGCATTACTGGTGTAAAAATTGTTGTTTATTTACTGTCGCAGACAAAGGTTATTTAGGATTTTGCCCCGAGAAAGCTGTTTTTCTGGGCTTTACTGGTTTTGTTTGACGGGATGTTTATGGACAATTCCCTATAGGCCATAATGGTATCTTTGCTGCTGGCTGAGGTTGCAGTGTATAGAAATAGTAGGAATAAATCTATTTACACATTTTGTTTCTAGATATTTTTTTGGGTAACAAAAATAGATTTTAAAAACTTGTGGATTCAACATGATGTCCCATAATTTCATTATTATGTCACATTGCTCTCTGTTGCAGTAACCCAAACCACTCTAAATGGTCAAAGGGAATGAAATATATTAACTCTCTGTTCTATATAATTTTGTGATTACTTCCCTTCATATAGAAATAAATCTTTTCCCAATTCAGACATTTAGTGACCAAAAAAACAGGTAATAAGTTTTTTTTAAGTGATGGGACATCATCAGGATAGCAGATGACTTAAGGCCTCCTTCTCTTCAGGGGTCTAGCGGTTCGTCTTCTGGATATTTATAAAAACTGACTAAGACTCCAAATGTATCCTGCATCTTCATCTCTTCTAGTTTCTTATGAGTTTCTTTGAATTAAAAGTAAGGTTGCATGATTTTTTTTTAAATGAAATTTACAGAAAAAAGCAATTTGTCATGAATCTTACGAGGCAATAGGTCTAATACCTAAATCGTCTGACAAATGTGACATGTGATTTTTTGTTTCTTTTAAATCTTCATTAACATAAGCATAATTTTTATGTTTCTATTATCTTTTTCTCAAACCTTAATTTTATTTTCACCTAGACCAGGTTTCTTGAGAGCTATGTATGCCCATGATCTTGAGGTTGCTTTTGTTTTCTGGCAAGATTCCAATATACAACATATGTCTCCTTTTTAAATTTTATGTAGTCTAACAAACAAATCCTAGGTACCCCGTTCACCATTCTAAGATGGTAATAATAAGGGTATCCTTTGGCTACACAAACTATTACCCTGGTGTACCCTACCGCACCTCCTTTTCCTTTGTGTAACCATATGGTTAAGTAATGTATTTTTCCCAAGTGAGTAAAGGGAATTATTGTAACAACAGTTTGGTCAGTTATTATCACTATTTTCTTAAAAACTACAAAGCCTAGTGAAAAACTTACTTGTAATCATCTGGGTGTAAGGCATTCTCCCTGGCAGTGAGAAGGGGAGCATCCCAGGCCAAGGAGTCACTCTGGTAGTGGTCAGTTTTGTAGCGGTCACTCTGATAGAGGTCAGTGGGCAGTACAATGTCCTCATCCTCATCCTTGCTATCTGGTTTACTGTAAAGAGACCAGACAAAACTACTGAGAATAAAGTCCTCATGAATTCACTATCTGTTTGTTTCTATAAATTATGTACAATACAGTGGAACCGACCAATTTCTATTTTTTATATACAATATGTCATCGTCTGTGGCTTAGGCGTTGCAAATGCTCTTCGTAATGCTGGGGTGCAGGGTTCGATCCCAGCTGCGGACAGTTTGTTTTTGCGTTGGTTTCGACAGTGGTACCGAGAGCAGACTTTTCAGAAAGAAGGCAAACTACTGAACATAACCTTTGCCTAGAAAAACCACACAACAGTCAAAATAGCTGTGGTTTGTTCTGCAATGTCCTGTAAAGGATAAGCAACTAACTTGTTAACTTTAACACACAATATATGGAACTGACCAATCAGATCTCTTTCTTAGAAGATCACTGTGTAGTAGACTGCCTTGCGGTCTGATATGTTGTTTGGTATACGACATATGCTTTGTTAATTCAAATTTCTGCAATCTATGCTTCTATTTCAATGGTTTAAAATGAGATCTGTCCTCACTCCATAGTTCTGGCTTCAAGTGAAATTCACACAGTTAAAAGCTAATTATTTTGAGTTTTCTACAAGTGATTTTCAGATATACACTGCTAACAATTCAATATTATTTACAAGTGGTACTCAGCAACAGCCAGCTAAATGGTTGTTGTCTTTGGTAGCCTGACATGGCCAATTACATGTTAGCGAACTAGTTTTAAGTAATTTAGTTATTTAGACATACAATACACATTTTTATTTACACAAGACATCACCTCTTCAACATGCATAAGAGGTTGTTTATATAAAATATCTTATGCAGGAGAAGCTGAAAAATTTTGGTCATATCAAGCTCCACGACGGATTGGAAAAAATTATAGAAGAAGGCATGGTTCCAGGAAGAAGGGGCAGGGGCCGACTGACACGAAGATGGGCACAGGATATAAGTGACTCCTTGAATATGAAAGTACATGGGGCATTAGAACTGGTGAGAGACCGAGTTTCTTTCAGGCAGACTGTGATGAGAGCGACGTTCTGCAAAGGACCTGCTACATGATGATGATGATGATGATGTGCAGGAGATACTATTTACATGATGTCAGTAGTTCCACATGCAGAGGATGTCATTTACATGAAACATCACTCTAACCACATGCGAGAGAGAACATCAAAATAAAATATCGCACTTTCCATAAAAATGCTGGGGTTGATTCTGCAATGTCCTGTCAAGGATATGCAACTAACTTTTTTTTAGAGATATAATCTACCTAAAATATCACCCTTTCCTGCTGTCACCACCAGATGGTCTACACTTTCATGTCTCTGCTCTGATCTGAGTTCCTGATGCTCTGTTTCAGGTCTACTAATGTTATTCCTCCTTGGGCATCATCACAAATTATGCAACTACATTTCTCTTGTTTTTTTTTCTTCCTCTTCTACCACTAATATTTCCCATCCTATCAATGTTCAGCAATGTCTCTTTTCACCACATGGCCACAGGACAGTTTCTCTTTTATAGTTATGCATGATTTTTTTAATGTTTATTATGATTTTCCCAGGCTGATAAGACCAATTATCCTTTATGGATCTTAAACCTGCAGTACAGCTAAAAGAGACAAAGCCTTGTAACTACAAACATTCATTAACTGTCTGTGTAGAATAGAGGGAATTAAATGGTATAATAAAATCCCTAATGATGAGCTTTGCAAGAGAACTAAATGAATTCAGGTGAATGAAGAGGTGAAGAAAAGATGCTGACTGATTTTAGATAGAACACATGCTGAGAAAACCTGACCAACATACAACTAAAATGTCTTTACACTGGAAACCTATCGGGCAAAGAAATAAAGGCAGACCAAAAACACACAGAAAAGGGAGCTATTGAGTAAAGTTTAAAAGGTGTGGAGGGCATAGGATGAGCTGCAAGGATAGGACAATTTGGTGTGAGTTGGTTTGGGGCCTATGTTGCAATATGGTATAAAGGACAGAGGAGGGAAGAAGACATTCTTTCTGACATTCAGTAATTTTCTGTCATAACTGTGGTACACTAACATCAAATCAGTGGATCCATTTGGCAGCAATTCATAATGGATGCAGAATCAGGTTGAAGATTGGGAGCACACAGCTAAGACAATATATGCTCTTATGCTTTACTGGAGGATAAAGGGAAGAAGAAGAAGAAGAAGAGGAGGAAAAGGAAGAAGAAGAAGAAGAAAAGAGCTAAGACAATGTAATGTTGATGACCCAAAAAAAAAAAAATGGAGTTGAGGTGGGGGAGTGGGAGGGGGGGGGGGGGGGCTGCAGTGAATATGTGCATCTGTCTGTGTGAACACTATGTGGGCAGAGGAAGGCAGGAAATGTAACAACTACAATGTGAGACAAAGTCTTTCCAGACTGGACAGAAGCGAATGTGAATATGAGGGAAAGAGATCAAAAGTTTCTATTAAAATAGGCGTGTTTGGTGTAAGTCTAGATACTAAACATATGCGCTTGTTTCTTTATCACAGTTCCCACATTAGGCAGGGACTAGTTGGCATCTATTCTTTGCAGACAGTCTGAGTGTAACGACCTGCTTGAAGCAGTGAGGACGACAAACTGGAAAACCCTACTAGCATATGCACGTATTGAACTCATTGTTTAACTCATTACCATCACTGAGCTATTATCGCAAGATCAATATCATTCAATTTATTTTGTTTAGACTATTAACTCTTTGAAGATGGGTCGCCAGTAAGCTTATGAAGTTATCCCTATAGGACGATCCCCAGTATACTGGCGTATCATAGAGACACTCCAATTTTGTTCTGTTTGTGAGAAAAACAAACTTTTATGAACAAGTTTTTGAAAAATTAGGATTAACAACAGGATGTCCTTTTGTTTGCGACGTCCTGAGTGGCTTTTGCGTCACGTTTTGATTTTTAAAAAATTATTTATTTGTGATAAAATCTTTACTTGTTTTTTCTGTACTAAATGATAAAGGAACTGTTCATACTGCTCTGTCGTTGATGAATCTCTGCCAGATGGTGACAACAGTCTTGATATTATGATTGATATCTAAGTGACAAACCTATTGGTGACAATTTAGTTAATGATATGAAAATTGAACAAAATATATCAGTCTGATCATCTGTTTTGATCAGCTGTTTTCCCAATTATCGGTTGTTGTGAAATCTAACACAAATCTAATACAAAAATGATCATAACATCCAAAGTATTTAAATTAATTATTTCAAATACATAATTCAACAGAAAAGGCATGTAAATTCTTAGAATAGGACAGCAGTTTTGTTGAACAATTTAACAAGTAAGGTAAGCACACAATTCTTTAAGTAAATAATCTTCATTTGTGTCAAACATCCTTGAATGTTGTGCGATTTTAATAATATTTTGTTGTAATACTAATTCTTATATAGTTTAGATTTATTTTGCACTCATTTATTTTTAATTTGATATATTAAATGTCCCAATACAGCCAATAATTTTTCTTCAGGAAGGTTTTAGCTTTGTTGCAGTAAAAAAATTCGGCTCAAAATTAATGCTGTCCAAACCACAGAAAAAAATGTCCTGAAAGAGTTAATAAAATCTTGTTCATGTTGCTATAAAATAGTTGAGCAAATTGTGTACTAGGTTCAAGTGTCTTTGTGCATACTAGTTTACTTCAGCTCACAAATATGTTAGTTAGTTAGTTAGTTAGTTAGTTGGGTTCTCCTCATTGCACTCCGGACATGTCCATAGTGACCATAGGTGCTCAGATCCTCCCCTCAGTATGATCCGCTATCACTACCGACGGTCAGCCTATGGATCATGCTGATATTATCAATGCCCTCAGAGAAATGGGAAGGATAGAGGACTTTGGTGGCAGTGAATCCACATCACTCGCCAGAATGGCAGACTTAGGAATTAAGATCGGCACAGTAAAAAACGAGACGCACACCAGACACGCCAGAAGACTTGTTAATCAACATAGAACTGGTACTATTAGCCATCGGACGTTGGGGTTCATACTGTTTCACTTATATGTTAATCACTTGATGGGGACTTTTGTTATAAATTAATACCAGGAGAGAAGAAAGTCGGAGGGGTTAACTGTGTATCTTGATATTACCTCATTGGATTCATCTTGATATCTATCTATCCCTTTTCCTACTCCTGTGGATACAAGTACAGCTACCTTAATTTTATTGTACAAGCCACTTTTGCTGTTTTCTTGGTTATTCAGGACTGCGTCTGGGATCAACATAGCTCAGATATTAGTCCAGTTGCTCATGTGGGTGTGCAGTGTTAGGATAAAAACCTGACAACTGAGGTGCTCGCTGTGATAAACACCTGACAAGTGCACTTCTCATATTTCTGTGCAAAAGCCATGAGAACAGTTATTTACTAAAGCACCCACTGCAGAAGCTGAAATCCCATATGTCAAGAGCTGTTCACTAACCTCTATGCAACAGAGCTACATACAAGCACCACCTTAATAGCAATCCTAACATTTAAACAGACTGACATAAAAATCAGCCGAAGATTAAATAAAACAAACTAGTAAACATAGGACTCGTACTATTAACTGCACAATGCTGATGAATAGGTTGAGAGGGGAATTTGAGCGCCTATGGATGTGTCCGGAGTGCTGTGAAGATAATCTAACTCATAACTCAAAACTAGTAAAATCAGTTGAAGATTGAGTAAAACACAATAACCACAACTTACATAAAATGCAACATCAAAATTATAACGTGAAAATCCACATATCATAAATATCAACCATATTGCAGGAAAATAAGACACAGAACTGTCAAAGTTAGAAACAGCTAATGGTATAAGAAATTTAGTTTCTGGAAGGAATGCAAAGAATACCAAGGCAGGACCCAAAATAAACAAGAAAAGAAGCAAACCTCCAAGAAAAGGAAGAAAACTAGAAACTAATCAGAAAATGGGAGTCCCTGTGGCGGAGTGACTAGGCGCTCGCCGTGGATGGGAAAGTCATGGGTTTGCTCCCTGGCGGAGTCGGACTTTTTTCCAAAATGACCTTGGCTCCCAGGTCGACCCAGCCTTGAGTGGGTACCAGGTGCAGTCCTGGGAAGTAGAGGTGGCCGGCGTGATGCTGACCACATCACCCATCTTGTGATGATGGTCTATAAAAATCTATGTCTAGCCCAAATGCCCTATACGCCTAAAGGCGTGGAAAAGGGTCCTTTACTTTACTTTTAATCAGAAAATGAGATGTAGACAGTGAAGATTTCATGAACATATTATATGGAGAAACACACTTTGAAATTTTAGTGAGAACTGGCAGAGCTGATGGGAAAGGAGTAAAGTTTGTCATGATGACAGAAACAGTTTTTGACACAAATTCTTCCAAATGTGTGTTCAACTAAAAGTATTGACTTTATTTCTGACAACTGCGATAAGAGAAGTATTAACACAGAAGAGTCTTTAAGCAGCTGTTGACATTTACCTTATTTGTTGGATAGATTGCAAATAGGACAGGGACAATAATCTTGTAAATGTTTTCTAAACTATCTTTTCTTGCTTTCCATTAGAATATTTTTTATTTTTTTTCAACAACTTATTAAAAATATTGGGTCTATGGTAGATATTCAAAAATATGAGGGGTCTGCGGGGTCTTATCTAATCGGGAGCAATGGCTCTAAGAGATACAGAACTGCTGATCCACATGTCATGGGCTCCAAGGTCAGGGTTCACAACTGTCGAGACCTGTCTACACCGCTGCATCGGAGAGTTCCTAAACAGGAGCCTGACCAACGTAGAAAGGACTGATATTTCTTTCACATTCAGAGCACCACTGTCTGAGAGGCAAGGAGCTAACAGTATGCACACAAGTAAGCCAGATGTGTAAAACACATGTGCACACAACACTCGAGTCCTGGAATATAACCAAAGTCCACAAGTGGATGACTGAGCAGGACTTTCCACTGAAGTTTACAGCTCATGATTGCAAAGAAGAAGAAGAAGTCCAACTCTTATGTCTCACAAATGTGCACACATCTGAATCCATAGAAAAATACCTAGACAGCTTGCCCACACGGCATAACTATGACAAAAACACAGATGTGGTTCTGATGATGACGTGAATGAGTGAACCATGACTGGTCACTATTACTGACATGGCACATGATGATGATATATAGAGCTCACAGAAGGAAAAAATGAGCACACGTTTTAACAACAGACAAGCTGTATAAAAAATGTAAATACTACATGTATCCAGATATTTCGACTGGTGAACACAAGTTACCTTTGACTTCTACAAATTACATGAGGTACTTAAAGTGGTTGCTGTTAGCAACCAGATATTACTGTTACAGCAAGCTACTGCTTGATTGATTTATTGATTTAGTGATTGCTTCATTCATTCATAGGCTTGCCTGTGGATCGGAAGGTCGTGGTTTTGCTCCCTGGCAGAGCCGGACTTTTTTTTCAAAAATGACCTTGATTCCCAGGTTGACCCAGCTTTGAGTGGGTACCAGGTGCAGTCCGGGGAAGTAAAGGCAGCCGGCATGATGCTGACAACATCACCCATCTTGTGCTGATTGGTCTAAAAAATAGGTCTTGCTTTTTATGCCCTATATGCCTAAAGGCGTGTAAAAGGTTTCTTTACTTTACATTGCGTCACTCACTGATTAAATCATACACTGCTTCATTCATTCATATATTGTTTATCTCATTACTACACTGCGTCACTCACTGATTCAATCATACACTGCTTCATTTATTCATATATTGTTACTCTCATTACTACACTGCGTCACTCACTGATTCAATCATACACTGCTTCATTCATTCATATATTGTTTATCTCATTACTACACTGCATCACTCACTGATTAAATCATACACTGCTTCATTCATTCATATATTGTTTCTCTCATTACTACACTGCGTCACTCAATGATTCAATCATACACTGCTTCATTTATTCATACTGTCCCCATGTGGGTTCCATGATGACTAAAAAACGCAGTTCCAACTTCAAAGCAGCCAGTGACCCCACAGTTGCTCTGCTTCTGTGCAAATGAAAACCTCACAAAATGTCCATCAGTGTCCCTTGTGAAAACATTGACACAGATTGCAGTCTCAGCAAATCCAATAGCGCACACACTCATTAAATGCATGAGGCAGCCATCAGAAGTGCCAACATAAAAAAGTCAGGCACTAGAAATATATTTAAACTTTAAGTACTTAGTTACAACAGATCGGTTGTTGCACATACAATTAACCGCACAAGGCACTGGCCACTCACTATTTTCTAAATCTGCAGTTCACAAAATAAACCATGTTGAACAGTCGAAAAGCATTCCAAATGAAATCCACAGCTCACAGTGTCATACCATGCACTAAACTAAGTAGCTGGGTGACAGAACTATTTCCTTTCAGTTTACCTATTCCTATGGAGGAAAATGCGATGGCCAACAACTGTCAGAAGCGAAAACTGTTTACAACTAAAAACAGTAAACCTCATATCCACCACATTGACCAGATGACATCTCAGGCATTTCCTTTGAAGTTAAAGTGCATCTGTCTGACAGGCTAAGAAACAACAGTCTGCATATAAATAAGCTAGATTTGTTAAAATGCAAATTTCCAGACATGGAACAAGATCAAAATGCAGAAGCGGACAACCAGAACTTTCAACTAGAGTTTACCACCGGTGAACATAAAGGAGAAAAAAAAGAAGATTTACACTGTTTAATTCATACCTACATACATTCATCCATACACTGATTCATTCATTCAAAATTTGCCTCATTCATTCATACACTGCTTCACTCAATCATTCATTTGTTCATACACTGTTTCATTCATTCATACATGGCTTCAGTCATACACTGCTTTATTCAATCATTCACACACTGCTAAATCCATTCAAACATCTAGTTAACATCATATAATAAGCTAGCTAACTGTGTAGTTAACCATAAAAATACTCCAAACACACAAATTTAAACAATGCTAACACTTGACAAACATCTCAATGTGAAATATTTCAATGTAAACATAAGTGAAAAAAAAAAAAATCCACATCAAGCAAACAAAATACAACATCTGCAAAGAATATGAAGAACCAACTTTTGAAATAAGAAACAAACTACACAGACCTACATATCAGCAATGAAATCAAACTATAGACAAAAGCAGGTTAACACAGCCAGGAGTTCTATCCTAACTGAATCTCAGTGTATTTACTTGTTACTCAACAATGGAGACAACAAATGTAGGTTAAAACAAGAAGCATAACAAAAGTGAGCACAACAGCGTGAGCCATAGAACACCATGCCTACACCAGACTGACTTTGCCATGAATGCCTGGGCGACTTTCTTGGCCAGAAGGAGCCTTGACAGCTGTGTCCTTCCTGTGTCACCCGGATTTTCCTCGCTGTTGCAGCAAATACACATGTTAACAGGTCAGTTATGTAAAGGTTTAAAGACAGAACGATAGATTTTACTGGATGGGGTTTTATCCTGTAAGGTTTGGTCTTTCTCAGCCCAAGCTACTTGCCGAGAGTGTGACATGAAGTACAAAATTCATAGCTTCAGTGATGACCTCCGAGGGATCTCTGAAACAGTTACACTTGTGAACTGAACAACCCAGTCCAGAAATGAACCCACGATCTTCAGAGTGTGGAGCAAATAGCTTAAATGATTTACAATGTAGATCTAAAAAGATTAGGATGGTACAGCCCATCTTTCTTAGTATACAATGTAAATGGGGAGCCATGGGGATGTAGTGGATAGTATGCTTACCTAGAGATTCAATTATATGTTCGAATCCGCATAGGGACAGATTTTTTTAAAAATTGATTTGGCTTCCCATGTCATACCAGTCTAATATGGGTAGAAGCAAATGTCGTGGAATGTAACTGTGGCCAGTGCCTACTGTCCTTTACTACTATGGGGTGGTAAACATATGCATTTTGCCTGATATAAATAAGTTGTGAAAAGCATTCTTTTTACTTTTTCCCCCCATCGGTATTAGTGATAGACCTTGTACATGTACTTTTTCTCTAACCCTCCATAAAGCCCTGAAACTGCAATTTACACTGCTGCCACATTCACGTATCATCAATCGGCATGTCCTTTACACAACTTCGCTCGCTTAACGGCACACCTGAAAGTATCCCTTTCCCTAGCCCCATGTGCTTTCAATGCCAATGCATCTTCAATGTCCTGTATCCATCTTCACGGTGGTCGACCCCTGCCTTGCTTTCCATAAGCCGCACCCTCCATCACTATCTTTTCCAAGCCACCATGACGTTTGATGTGGTCAAAATACTTCAACTTTCGGGAGAGGATGCTGTTTATGAGTCAGTTCTCCTTGATGCAGAATGTCAATGTTTTTCCTCTTCTTGATCCATGGTGTTCTGAGAATCTTTCTGAAACATTTTAATTTAAAAGCTTCAATCTTATTCTTCAGTGACTGAGTGACAGTCCAGGACTGACGACTTTAAGTTGCCACAGGAAAAATGCATGATCTCGAGATTGTTACCTTAACTAATTTAAAAAAGAAAAAAAATCTTGAGATCACACATTTTTCCCGTGTTGCACCTGGAAACCGGCACGTCTGCACGACCTGTTTCTGAAAAGCACAGGTTAACATCATTGCTTCTGTTTGTGCCTGCTCAGCATTCAGGAGGCCTGGATATGAAAATATTTTTACTAAACAACAGAATTTTGAGTTTTTGTGCAAACCAAATGGCATTTCAAGCCATGCTGACATCAAATGTTCCCCACAGCATCCCTGACAGAGGTCACTGGGTCATGCCATGATCACATGATACATAATTTTTTGCTCTGGTGAATTTATTCCACTGAATACTTCACTCTGCCTGTGTTTACTGATTTTAGTGCATTTTTTCTTCTGTTGTCCTGTTGTGACACATTATATGTCACAGATGGCTCAAAGTATATTACTTATTTTCATTCTATCCTGTGTAATTGCTTTTCATTATCATGAATTGAATCCAGTCCAGCACCTTTGGCCTCTCTTATCAGTTTTCACTGTAGGGTTTCTCTTGGACAGCCATGTTTCCTTAATGTCTCTTCCTATCTCAGTCCCTGTCTGGTGATTCTCTGCTCGTTTCTTCACAGACGGTGTCCCAAATAACGCCATCTTCTGTGTCTTTTAACTATTAATACTAGTGGTTGCACAAACATCTCTTTCTTTTTTCTTCATTCCTCATGAATGCATCCCCATTCTATGTTCATCATTTCCCTCAGGCATTTGTTTTCAAATTTACTGATTACTCTCTCTCTCTCTACATAACTTTATATATATATATATATATATATATATATCCCCCTCCTCTTTTCCACCTACCAACTTGTTTAAAATGTAGGTAAGTTTTTACAAATGTATTAGTGACATGTGTCACAACCTATACAATGTACCAACAATCCTTTTAACACAGGAGATAGCCTTGAAGACATGATATTAATGAATATAATCCAGTTCAAAGCAACAAGAATTGCATAATACAAGCCAAGTCTTAACTGAAGAGTCTCATGTAGAGTAACATGCAACCGCTATCAGTGAGTATAACTGCTGCTACACTGATATAGAGATATATGGTGTTGCTACAAGGAGACACAAATAAAGAGATATATGGTGTTGCTACGGGGATACAGAAATAAAGAGATATTTGGTGTTGCTACAGGGATAGAGATATATGGTGTGACACTTGTATCTATCAGTGAATGTAACTGCTGCTATAGAGATACAAAGGTACATGGTACGGAATTCTGAACTCAAGTCAGTGCTAAGATATAATATAGGTCAACCCAGGTGAAGTTGTTCATTTTATGTGTTATATCACATTCATGGCTATAACAATATACTATTTAGCTGTGTGTGTTTGTGTGTGTGCGCACGCATGCATGTGTGTGTTTTTTGTGTGTATGTGTGCTAGTTATATATTTAACCCCTATCCTCTTCCCCTGTCATAATTTGTGTTGCATTTATTTCTTGAGATAGCTTGATTACAGGTACCCCCATTTTATATCATTTTAGACAGAAGTCAGATCCAACTCAATGTGTGTAAAGCTATGAAATGTGTATTAAAAAAACTCACCTCTGATTGCTGTTCCCAGTATTTTCTGTAGGTTCACTGTTGAAATAAGAAGACAACAATAAATGTAATTATTTTCTGTTCTTGATTGGAATGCCCGAGACACTTGTATGTATGATAACAAAAACAAATAATTTAAAAAAAACCAATTCAATAGCAATGAGAAAGATCCATTTTGTATCATCTTCTTCAGTCAATGAAATTGGTTTATCTGCAGTTTCCTAATATAAGTGTACATAAAGTTCTATATGTGCCTCTTGTCCCAACACATTTGACTTTTCATTACTTGCTTTTTACCACATGATTTTTGAAGGGCAGTGAATTTATTCTTTCAACTTTAACCAACTTAAATCTGAATTAATTTCAAGAAGGCTTGTTGGCCTCCCCACAGGCTTTGTCCTTAAAAAAGGGTCTAGTAAAGGCCAAAATGTTTACTAGGCTCTACATATGTTGGAAACGCTTCTTCTACTTCCTCACCTTCTGTGCATTTACTGGCTGTAAACGTCTTGCTCCAGGACTTGAATTTTGTGTGCATATCCAATTTACAGATCTGGTTTAGTTGAAAGCAGACTGTTAAGTTCCTTGCATATTCAGCTAAAGACACTCCAAGTTTAGAGGAAACACCTCTAATTATTAGTCTTCTTTTATGACATGCTTGTAGAGGGATTGGGGGGGGGGGGGGGGGGGGGGGGTGGGACTAGTGGGACTATTCGTGCCCCTCCTCTTTCCCAAATGGGGCCTCGGAATCTATATGTGGATAACTGCTCTCAGCCAACTTGTTTTCCCCCCACACGTCCAGTCTCCTTAGAACCTCTGTATTCACTGTTTTTGTTTCCGGTAATTACCACCCATTCTTTTGCGCATACACATCTCCAGAGACTAGCTTAGACTTTCTAGTTGCTTGTTTATTGTTCAGGTGTCTACATCATGCAGTAGGGTTGAGAGAAGAACATAGCCACTTCAACTGTTCAGTATGCAAAAGTGTAGCTTTACAGTATAAAGATACTGCCACAGTGGTGTGTTTAACATTAGGCTTTCAGAAAGATCAAAGATTCTCAAAACAGACCTCTGGAAGGACTCTCATTTCCTTGTTCATTCTACTGACTCCAAGCCATTTTTTATGCTTAATGTGTGTCTAATATTCTGTACCAGTCTTAGGCTGGTCAACCGCTGAGTGACCAAAGTATTTTAGTTTTCAAGACAGGATGCTGTTTATGAGCTTATTTTCTTCATTTCAGATTTTGTATAATATACTTTTTTAATTCTTCTCTTTGATACATTTTTTCTGTTACTTTACTCATAAAATGAAAAACAAAGTTTCCCATGTGGGTTCCGGGGCCCTAATATAAGGAAAACAAGAATAGACCTACTGCCTACCGAAAAGCATGTTGTAAGAGTCAACTGACTGGGAGCTTCCTTTGAAGCTGGAGTGCATCTGCCTGAGAGGCAAGGAACCAACAGTCTGCATACAAATTAGTCAGATCTGTTAAACGGATGCACACGCAACACTCAGGTTCTGGAACAGGACTGCAGTCCAGAAGTGGGCGAACAACCAGAACTTTCCGCCAGAGTTTACAGCTGGTGAACGCCAAGAAGAAAAAGAAGAAGAAGAAAAACAAGGAGTAAGCTTGTGACTGACAAAAACGTCAGTTACAGGGAAGAGTTAAAACTTATAGGATAACATAATGTCTGCAATATTCAGAAAGACACAGAATCAGGTTGACAGTACATAAGAAGGTTTCCTAATCCCCCAAACAAACAATTATATATAATTTTTTTTAAATTAAAAAAGGTGTAAAGCAAACTCTCAAGTAATGTGGTAAATGTCATTGTGATCCGGTTAAAAAATTTTTACCACAGCAATCTCAACCTTTAAAGAGCTCTCTGATGATGCAAAAAAAAACTCCGCTCTGGTGTGACAACAATCACCAGTGTTTTGTGGCAACACCACTGTAATTTGGCAATGATCACCGCTCTTATGTGGCCACAATCGCCACTATGATGTAGCAATGATCAACACTCTTATGTTGCCACAAAATCACCTCTATGATGTGGCAATAATGACCGCTCTTGTGTAGCCACAATCACCACTGTAATGTGGCAATGACCACCACTCTTATGTGGCCACAATCACCACTATGATGTAGCAATAATCACCACTCTTATGTTGCCACAAAATCACCACTGTGATGTGGCAATAATAACCCCTCTTATGTGGCCACAATCACCACTGTAATGTGGCAATGATCACCAATCTTATGTGGCCACAATCACCACTGTGATCTGGCAATAATTCCCCCCCCCCCCCTCCCCCTTACCACTGTGATGAGGATTACAAAAAAAAAAAGGACTGCCAAGCAGCAGAAAGATGATAATTCACTGAAGGCTAGGACAATGTTTAAAATTACATTTTACTTCAGGTATCACTTTGTTGCATGCAATGAAAGGCAAATATTAAAACAGATGAGGCCTGCTTTAATGCAATATTCTCACAAATTTTATCAATCTGACAAAAATATAACTTTAAAAAAAAAACTTTCTCTGGAATGCACAGAAAAAAAAAAAGGGGAGAGTTATAAATACACAGAGAAGGGAATCAGAGACAGAGAGGTGAATAACAGAGGGGAAGACACAGAGAAAGATGCAGGAGATGACAAGGAGATACTGTATCTCAAAGGGGAATAAAGGGCAGATAGTAAAAGAAGATTAGAAAGGAGTAAAACACTTATGATCAAACATGTCTGGCACTGGAAAGGTTCAAGGAAGACAAACATGTGATGCTGGAGAAAACAGACAAATCAAGAAGAGAGACAAGGATAAACTGATAAGAATGACAAGGAAATGGCTGGAAATGAGAAACCACAGTCGAAATCAATGAAGGACAAATCAACCACTAATTTGTAACAGGAACTACAAAACAACTACACTGAGGTAAGTGCTTTGCAATCTCACGCATCAAGTAAATATCTGGTTACCGAAAACGGTTACGAGACTGCATGATTTATCAATATTAACAACAGAACTAACAAGTGAACAAGCTCATAATTAACGAAAATGAGTGGCAGCTAACATCTACAACAGACATGTGCATTCGATAAAATTTGTGAAAATAAGTTCAACAATTTGTCAAATAACATGGCCACCATAAATGAAATATTGATTGAACATGTCCTTGACATTTAGAATTTTGCTTGGGAGCAGATTAATGTTAGTTTTCACCCAGACGTCATGACATAATGACCAGAAATTACTGTCATTTCCCAGAGAAAAGAAGACAAGGGATTGTTCTTTTGTCGGTTTTCTCTTTGTTTCTTGTCTCTGAAGAAACAATCAAATCAAGTTTGTGCCTTCTAGAATAATCTGCCATGACGTCTGCTACGTTTGCTCTATTGCTCTGCGCACAGTGCCACTTACCAGGCACATGCTACCTCTATTATTATATTCAATTACAAAACAGTAGGTTTGTTATTTCTTATCTTATAGAACCAATGGCCCAGCGCTGTGAGTAAATGACAAATGGTGCAGTCTCAACTAGCAGATATCAGTCAACCTAGAAAAAGAGACATGCCTATTGTCATGACCTAGTATTTCCTGTGAGAGTTCCGAGGCCCCATTTGGGAAAGGGGAAGTGAGAAAAGGGGGGTAGACTCACTGCCTGCATAATAAGTATGTCATAAAAGTCAACAACATCAAGGGTGTATTCTTCAAAGTTGAGGTGCTGAAGTGCATCAACCTGAGAGGCAAAGAACTAACAATCTGCATACAAATAAGTCAGATCTGTAAAATGGATGTGCCTGAAAAACTCAAGCTCCAAAACACATCAACAGTCCTGAAGTGGATGAATAACCAGAACATTTCTGCTGGAGTTGATAACCAGCAAACAGCAAGAAGAAGAAGAAGAAGAAGAAGATTACCCAGTTTGCCAAAGTATTTAAGTGTGCTGAGTGTGAGCTAACTACCCTGGTACATCAATACATTTCTGTGAGCTGAGCTTCAGCTAACTGCCTTAGTACAAAATACATCTCCATGAGCCACGTTTAAACTCATTACTCATCCCTGGTTCGTTCTTTGAAAACTTCAACCATGAGATGTGTGGGGAGGGGACATTCAGAAAGTAATGCCTCACATGTCTGTTTTTTTTCTCAGCGAGAAGACAGATCATGAAATTTTGTCCACTTCAAATTTGAAATGCCCATACTGTAATAATGAAATGGCATCACACTCCAGCAGATAGAACAGCTGCATTTAGTAACAAAAATGACATGCAAGGAAAATGCATATTACAAAAAGCAAATTATTACAGAATGTCTGACTGCAGGAGAGAAAAAAACAACAGAAAAAACAAACTGGTGAACATTCACAAATGCTTGTGTGTTGTTTGTGGAAAGAGTGCAGTCAGTAGGAGCACTGCTGATCACTAGGTTCAGAGAGTTAAAGCTTCAGAAAGCAGAGAGATGGACCTGATGATGTTATTATGCTGTAAAGAAATGGCAATGTGAACAGGACAAAATCGGAATCAGGAAGGATGTTCATGCCCTAATTCTGCATTGGCATAAGGTCACAGAAGTGAAAGGAGACTGTACAGAAAAAAAGAATGTGTATACAACATAAAGAGATACACTGGCAGGGAATTTCATACATTTTGAACAAATAGTTTTAAGAAAAAGAATAGGGGCATTACTTTCTGAATGTCCCTCATACAGTGCAATACTATCAAAGCCATGATACAGTGATCCGCAAATGAACAAAGAGGCACATCAACAAATAGCAATGACCTGCCCCGCTTCAAAAAGTGGTCTAAGACAAGCACAAGTGATATCACAATGTGAAGACTAAAATGTGAATATTGTGGTCTTAAATTCGTGAACTAATTCTCTACTTTACAGTGTCAAAGCTTCTACATGCACTGAGAATGCCATATACACTTGAGCATACATTCATTTCTTAACATGACAGTTTCAGACTGATGGTTGATAGAAAGTGAAACATTCTGATTTTCTTTGTGATTTTACATCCTGCAGAATAAAAATTAGGCCACT